GATATCTTACATCCATAGATTTTACGGAAGTTTAAGAACGATCACTGAAACACTGACTTATGTTAATCTATACTTACTTTTTCAGCGAAGTTTTTGAAGAATGTGGCTACAGCGTCGCCGGAGCTTTCCTCATCGGACTCACTGTCAACACTTTTGGCAGTGCTCACCTGCAATTCATGGGAGACTTTGGAAAGTTGCTGATTTTCAGAAATTTCGAATTTGTTTCTTACGTTCTTGTTGAGTGGTTGCTCTGGAGAAGTCGGAGAGTCAACATTGTTTGGATGTGGTAATGATGGATCCACCTGAGACTTTCTGTGCTGTCTCAGTGTCAGTGGTTCTGTGTTGGTAAACTTCAGGGTCAACTCTGGAAACGGGTCGAGGAGTCCTTCTGATGCGTAGGTCTAAATCCGTACTTTCATGTATTCCTACTTTCCAAAATAACCTACTATATACAAATTACCTAGTGGTATCGGACTAGGATTAGCGATTGTTACTAAGGGTGAAAAAAGCCATTCAATTTAGCCAATTTATTGTGTTAACTCCGAGTGTTTACTTAATTTATTATTCAGTACGGGTGGAGGTGGTGTGAGTCCACACTATCCCACACGCATAGTATCGGGATCGAGCCCTGCTTCGATATCTGCCTAGGCCACCCGAGCCTTCCATCCAGCCAGGGTCCACTAATCCGTATCAAACTGATCTGGGAGAAAAGAAACGTTGATTTTTCATCACTGACCCCGCTGGGTCCCTGAGTTTTCACTCTAAGCCACTGCGATGCTAAACGGAAGTCGAATGCAGGATTGCATCCCCAGGCGGGACTGACCAACGCGGAGAACTTCAAGCTTTTGTCCTTTACTATTTAGTTATGTTTTGAACCACAGAAACGATAAAGTATGATCAACCGGTATTCACAGTGAAATAGAAGTGATAAGAAGCATACCGTACCTCGACAATATGGCTAGCCACTACTGAAAGCATGAACGCTGCCCATGCCATTTTCAGACTTTTCTTCTTCATTTTTTCCGGAATGGGTGTGGACTGGATGAGAACGAAGAGAATAATATTCAAACGGACATTTGAGCAAGTGTACGGAGGCAAAAAGTAAAAAAACTTTAGAAATACCCGATGACTTCGAAGGTATAGAAGTTCTTAAAAGCCTGAGTAATCTCCCTGCCTGAATTAAAGAGACATGCTCTTCTAGCATCATCTCTGTGCTAATTTTGCCTAAGAATACGGTCCCCTCTTCTTGTGACACACTTCTGGTGAACCAACTTGAAAAGATAGTTTATTAGTCATATGAATTCTGTCGAATGGATACGAGTCTCCACCTCAAGCCGAGTAATTGTGGTTTTACGCGAAAAATTCTCTCCTAAAGTTCAGCACCCGTACAAATCAAGAAGGCTGAACCGCTTTTGCAATAAGGAAATCTTCTTTTTCTAACAGGTTCCTCGACATTCAAGTATAAAAGGACGTTAACCCGATAGGTTTTTAATCGATGTGTTAGGACCACTATAATTCGATGCTGATAATTGCTTTAAATATTGCTTAGGCTCTGAAGTTCTGTGTTTAATGTGTTGAGTAGCAGACACAGAAAAGAGGAAGAAGAAAAAGGGATGCTAGAAAAGTACGCCGATGTATGGTCCAGTGGACGAGTGTTGAAAGAGCCGGGTTAATGTTCGACCACTGACAGCACGATCACCGATTAGGTACGTATTAACATTTCATTAACAAGAACGATATTTTTGTAAACAATAGCTCGATGACTTTCAGTTTGCTAGGACAGGAAAAACAAACGCACGAGCACCGAAATATACAAGTTTAGAAGGGATTAAATGCTGTTGATCTACTGGGTTCGACTCTCGCAGGCGTTTTCTATTCAACTCCTATTTTACTAGGAATTGAACTCAGCTAAAAGTAGCATATGTTGCGAAAGCAAATATAGTATGCTGACATAAAGGGCAGACCGTCTGCGTCTGCAATGGAAAAGTCGAGTAAAAGGGGCGGGGCTGACACGGTAGACTAGAGTTTCGGATCTAGGATACAGATCTTATTTCAAATCATTCGGTAATCTAGTCGTGAAAGAGGGTGTTTATGGTCAACGAAATTTGCTAAATGGGTTCAGTCAAGAAGAGAAGCTTTGAAACGTTTTCAAAAACAGAAAAAATAAATCTTTATAATAAGCTCTGTTGAGGTTTAGTTACAATACATCAATCATGGTGTAATTTCGGATCTTCCAGTCAGCTCTGAATTTGCCAATCCAAGATTACCAACGCTGATCCGATCAGATTTTTCCTTGCTGCGTAGGCTATTGACAGGTATACTGGTGTCGTAAACATTTCTGAAAAAGCTGATTTGGCTATCGGTCTCTCAAAAGGGAAAGGTAGGCGTTCCTGGATTTATCAAGAAACCCAGAGGGATCAAAAGCTCAGCTAAGTACCTGTTCAGTGTTACTCCACATAATGTATCACTCTGAACGAATTGCTTCACCGAAGGAGCTGTCCACCCGGCAAATGGCGTGAAGTCGTTGAAGTCAGGCTGAGTCATATTAGCTGAACCGGGACCCTTGACACTCCAGTACCTAAATGGGTGGATTGAAAGGAGCGCTCATCTTTACCAATCCAATTAATATGCTCCTCAAAAGTCCTGACTGCTCTACAAAACTTTTGAAAACATTGAGCCTTTATCTCAAAAATGAGCCTCTATTCCTTACCAAAGCATAGCATTGTTGACTTTGGCTCCATTTGTGATTTGGGTCCAATCGTCCTTATTGGTGTAGATACCAACTTTCATACCACTCAGCTTAAAATGGTCCTTCTTCTTTTATATGAGGACTAAGTAATGGTTGAACCTACACTGGCTCTTATAAAGATGTCATTGAGAAAATTAATGTTGGCTTTCGGTGTCGGGAACCAGTTGGAGGGTTTGGTGACCTGAAATTTCGATTTTACTCTCTTTAAAACCAAACATTTTGACAATGAACGCACTGGAAATGAAAAAGATGAGGGATATGAACCTGGCTTTGAACTTTCTGTCTTCTGCACTGGTCTCAGCAGTGATAGGGTGTAGGAATCTCCCGTCTGAGGGATGTGCCTTGCATTTGACTTTCATTCAGAATCATA